TATTATTTTGTTGTGGGGGTTGTTGTTTGGGTTTTTTTTTTTGTTGTTTTCCTCGCCTTTTCTTGGCTCAGGCTACACAAGGCATGCAAATGTAGGTAATTGTGCTCCCCAGCAGTTGAAACGCTTCCGAGGCCAAACGAGACGATGGTACTGCTCGCCCTGCCGGTGCAGCACCTTATTCCTTTGAGAAACAAACCAAGCGGATACAGCCCAGAGTCACAGATCGTGGGCGCGTACTTGAAAAAGAACGAAACCAACCCAACCCAGCCCCACGCCGACACGGCAGGAGCCCCGTAGCTGCAGCCCGTCTCGCAGCCCTGTTTGCCGACAGCAGCAACGGGTACGAAGGTCTGACTAAACGCAGCGAAGAGAGCCGCGCAATTCAATATTCCCTGGGCAAACGTGGCCTTTGTCACACTTTAAGCGAAGCCCGGACCCACACCTTTAGTTAAATCGTACATAATGGGGCTGGCCTCCCTCAAAGAATAAGCTATGTTGCTTAGCCACTTGCAGCAGCTTGGAAAGAGCCGCCGCACGGCTGCAGTGCAGGTCTTGCCTTTTCCCTCGGAGCCATTCGGAAAGCATTTTGCCCTGCCCTCGTCGTGCGTGTATTGGCTTGCGCTAAAGCGTTACGCCTGCTGCAGCTCCAAAGGTCATGGAAGGCAGTCCCGAACGGGAAGTGCAGGAGGAACGAAAATGCCGAATGGGATCCGGGGGCTTCTCGGGCCTGCCGTGTCTCTCTCCAGTCATCCCCCATCTACCCTGAGAAAAGCCATCCCTTTAGCTTGCATTTGCAGATACATTAGTTGTGACTCCCGTGTGGTAGATGGCGGCGGTTAGCAGCGGGGCGAGCAGCGGGCTCGGCGTGGGGGTCGTTGGGGCGTGGGCGCTGCAGGCGCGGGCGTGCTGTCTTTCAGGAGCGGGTGCTGAAAGGAGACGTGCTGGGAAATACGTTCTCCAGCTTCAGTTCAGGCCCAGCGCTTCTCCCTGCATCTGCCCAGGATGAGTCCTCACTGGGTCGTCCAGTGTGGAGCTGTGGTGTATTGCAGGTAAAGATACCGCATGGCGAGAATCCCCTCCAGCTCCCCTGCCCTCTCTGACTAGTTGTGGCCCATGGTGAGGACGATCAGCTACCCTGTGCTCAGGCGGTCTGTGTGTGATGGGGGCCTATCGAGCGCAGCTCTCCTTTCCTAGGAGAGGAAGGCTCTCAGAGGCATCTTTAGAAACAGCCTTCTGTTTTGAGGGACAGTAGTGATTTCCCAGCAGGTCAGCGTCCGTGCGGAGGGGGATGAGTATGGCCAAGTCGCGTTCATAGAGCTTTTCCAGCTCCACCTTGATCTGTGGGATCTCTGCCAACTCAGGAGCCGATTCTGCCCTTCATTTTTTGAGGCGTGGGTTGGTTCGGTCACAAAAGGTTTCCCTTGTTGCGGTTCCTGCAGGAGGAGGGAGATAAGTTGGCCCAAGATTGAAAACGTTTGTAAGCCCGTCTTCTACAAGATTACGAGGGTAGTGGGGCATCTTGCCCATTATCTGAATTGCTGACTTTGCTGTAGGCATGGTTTACATAGTACAGTGAATGAGATAAAATGTCCCTTTTTTAAAAGGGGAGGGGGAGAGTTTAATAGATGCATAGGGTAACTGTGCTGTCTGTGAATAAAACGGAAAAGACTTCAGAGTTGCAGAGGGTGTTTTATCGGGTTAACCTGCAAGCCCTCCTACCATTAAAACTTCAAAGCAGGTTTCAGACTTGATGCTTATTGAGGCCTAATCAAAACAGTACTGTAGCTGACTAATTTTGCAGTTAAAATTAAAACATCTCTTAAAAATAAGCTAGAATATTTGTTACACTTTTCATTTGCAGAATACATCTAGAAATTCACTCAAAAGTTGATTTTCAGTCTGACACAAAGGATGCTGTCACCTCTGTTAATATGAACAATTAATTTTGAGAGCTGCTACCAAGTCTCTATATTAATATATTCAATGTGCAGTAGAGAACCGCCTGTCCCTCAGTGCCTATGAGGTGTGCAGGTACTGGAGAGACCATACGAACATGCAATGCAGTAAACAAAAACGCCTTGAGAATTTGGGAACTTTGAGGGGCTCCTGCCGCTCCTGGTTAATTTTACCAAACCAATCCTTGAAACGGTAATTTCTTTGTTTTACTGCAGAATTTGTGCTTCAGATGCTTAAGGGGAGCACTAATTAGAAATTGGAGGGTCCCTGGCCTTTGAAATGGCTGCTTCTGCAAAGTAAAGCTAAGCTGAATTTGTATATGCTTCTCCTTTTGGTTCTTAGGCTGCTCTACCAAACCCCTTCCAGTAGTTGGTAACGCTGCCCCCCTCCCCCCCAAGAGACTTTCCACCCAAAACATTTCTAAGAAAGTTGTGCCATTCAAATGGCAGGGTGGGGTGGGGGGCCCAGACAAAATAAAACTTTACCTCTTTAGTTCGCAGGTTGAAAGAAGCCTGTGTAATTAGATTGTTAATCCAGGAGATTAACTTGACTAGCCGTTTCTTGGAACTCTGCGAAGCTGCAGAGTTAGAAGAATTTACCAGTGGTATTGGAAACATTAACTGAAAAACACAGAGGCTTTTTCTTATTTATTTATTTGGTACCACATGAAAACCCTGTTTGTAATGGCTTGGTGGCGGTTAATACTCTGTAGTCTCTCTTACTGTGTTTCTGCAGACAGTAAGAGATTTGGAGTAATTCCCTTGGCAATTATCACGCCATAGAGCCAAGTGGCCTCAAGCAGAAGAAAAACTGAATGTACAGCCAGAAGTGTTTTTACCTTTAAGCCCAAGCCCTCTCAGCCGATCGAGCCAAATTCCATTCCTAACACCTTATTTGCTCCCACTTTCTGTCTCCTGAGATCACGTTTCCCGTATGCAACTCTGTCAAGATGGGGAGGTTCAATGGAAGCCTGAAGAAGAGTGTGTGACCCAGAAAGGTGGAGGAGCCTCTCCCCCAGGACTTGCGGCGGAGAGCGCAAAGTCTCTTCTCTTTATCCCTCTTGGCCGGAATGGAAGTACGGTCTGGAGAAAAAGGCTGGCGAGCTCAGAGAGAGCAACCTGGAAGCCTCTGTGGATTTCTTATAGCTGAACGTAAACTCACAGACTATAACAAGTATGAACCATGTAACGGTTGCCAGAGAGGGCTCTTCACTAGAGGTGTTAGCCGGTGGGGAGGAGTACAGGGCATGGAGGTGGAAAGGTCTGCCTTCTTGATTGGAAAAAAAATGAGCAAAGCCCTACATGCACCTCCCTCTGCAGGCCCGGAATTTAGGAATGGAGTAGGACTTAGACTTTTAGGAGGTTTTAGAAATGCCTTGCTGTTAGCAGGTGCTGCATTTATTTAGGTGGCGAAGGTGAATGAATGTCTGTTCCGGCGGTCTCTGGATGTGTAGGTAGAACTTCATACTCGACTTGTGCTCCTTAAAGAGCAGGGGTGAGCCTAGCTGTCGGGGCTAACCTGTAATCCTCTCGTACCTGGGCTGTGCAGCAGAGATCTGTTAGCAGGGCTGAGATCTGTGTTAACCTGAAAGAAGGGATTTTCTTTTTTCTTTTTTTTTCTTTTTTTTTTTTCTCCCCCCAAACATACTCTGCCCTGACCATGCAGTGGTTCTTCTTTTCTCCTCTTACTCACGTTCCTTTCTGAGGATCAGCAGTGTGAAGGTCGTTAAAGCTGTACCCTGCAGAGCAGAGGTCACTGTATGCTCTTAAACATTTGCCGTGATGCAGATGAAAGAGTCCCTGAAAAAATTCAAGGGTGTTGCATTTTTGTGGACCCCATCTTCACCGCCAGCAGTTTGTAAAGAGGTAACTTGTATTCCCCGCTGGAGAGCAGCATGGCTGTGCAGGGCTGGATCTCCCCTGGGCTGAGAGAAGCCTGGCTGCTCTGCGTCTGGAGGTGGTTCACAGAAACAGCCCCATTACGGGTTTTCAGGGCTTTTTGAGTTTCTCTGGAGCAGCCTTAACCGCTCTGTCTCAGACTCCATTAGGGAAACGTCATGGTAGTGGTGGAGGAATATAAAACTGCAAGGACTGCCTTGTGAGTTTAAAGTTGCGTTTTTATAACAGTGTTATCTTTAGGGCATAAAGATTGGATTCATGCAAATGTGGATATAGTCGTAATTCTTGCTGTTCTTGTGGCAGGGTTTGTGGTACAAGGGTTGGGCCCTGGTCCCTGGGGAGTGAGGCGGTGGGCAGGAGTAAGTCCCTTGTCTCTCCAGGAGAATCCAAAGAACGCGGCCCTATCCGTTCGGGGTCTGACTTTGAGCAGAAGCAGACAGCTGTTTTCGGGGATGTCGGAGGTCCCCCATTCATGTAATATTTCTGGTAGCTTTGAAAATGGCTGATCTGTTGTTGCCGCCTTCTCTGGCAGAGGTGCTATTTGGCACTGAACCCAGTGCCCCTGTCTTCTAATACTATTATAGGGGAAAGTGTATGTACCCCGTGATTTACATGAGCTCAGCTGTCCTGTGGGCAAGCGTTTTCTTTTTTCAATTTTTATTACCATAATGTTAGGATATAGTACTGGAGGGGGAGGGGAATGGAGCCAAGGTGCTTAGAGAAGATAATTCTGACTCTTCAGTTGTGTAGGAGTTAAATAAGAAACTCTATTATAGCAGAGGCTAGTCCCATGCCTCTTGACTGAGAAACCTCATAAGGAGCTTTTCTTCTCCTCCACTTTGGAGGGAAGTGCTTCTTGGTGATAGTGCAGAATAATTTCTTAGCTGTAGGAGTAACTGAGCAGCATAACCCCCCCCCCTCCCATGCCCCCATCCCATACTTTGAGCTGTTAAATGTGAACTTGAAGGATACCTACAGCATCCTTTGTTGCAGCATTAGCGCTTGCGCCTTGAGAACACCTAAGGCAGTGCTGAGTGCCAGTAGCACCTTGCGCTAAGGGAAAAGGAAAGGGAAAGGCCTTTTGTCTTTGCCTGATGGAGGAGATCTTGGTTTAACGAGCTGTTTGTGTTAATATGATTAATGCAAGTGCAGTCCAGCCTTGGCTAATGACTGAGCTGTACTTTGGCTCTCTTTATTTCTTCTGTCTTTTTACCTTTTCTGTTTTCTAAAGGTGACAGGGGTCTGTATTTGAAAACTGACATGTCTCCCTGGCTACACCACATCACTGGCTGATTCAGTTTTGAACGCTCTGGGTATGGGAAGATGCTAAAGGTGGCAATTTTTGTACGGGGTTTTTATTTAAACAGGCAAATTAGATAAAGGGCACTTGCCTGTCAATTAGTCAGTTAGTTCACTCAACTAACTGGGTCTGGTCCAAGCAGAAAGGGAGCTTTTTTAATTTTATTGAAACTGGAAATTCTCTCTTCATTGGGGAAAATGCCCCATTTTGAGCGGCTGATGCCTGTGATTTTGGTGATGCTCTCTGAGGCTGTCGTTAGCCCGGGAACCCTGTCCCCGGGAGTCTAGTGGTTCTTGTTAGGCTTTAGCTGTTGCTGGGTTCTTGCCTTGCCTTGGAGGGTTCAGACAGGTATTTTACATCCCTGACTCCAGAGCTCAGCCTGCCGAAGCCTGGTGAATTATGCTGGCTATGCATGTGGCTTGGGGGCAAGGAGTTGGTTGTGTTGTTCATAGGCGCTCCCTTCCAGCGTGCCAGAGAGCAAACTGGGTACTTGTCTACTAAGGCAATTATTTCACAAGAAAGTTGCTATAGGGAGCAGCAGGAGCCACCATGGTTAATAGAAAAGATTTCCCTTATCTTTTTTTTTTTTTCCTCCCAGTGTGTACGTCCCTCTTAAACCATTTTTCAGCCTGATCTTGCCTCTGAAATAAGTCTGCTTCCTCCTGCTAGGCTAGACTCGCCCCTAGCATGAAATGTTAACTGCATGGGGTTATTGCAGGCTGCTACAGCTGGTGAGGAACAGGCAGCAGACCGTGTTTCCAACCTTGTCTGGGTCAACATCAACTCTGGGCTTCCCATAGCAGGCGAAGCAGAGGGGAAGGGGACGGGGTCATGGGAGTGTCCTAATGCGGAATCTAAGGGCTAAATGACGGCTGCCAAAATCGCCCCCATGTGGGAGCACTGAGGGTCCCTTGCAGGCTGCGTTTCAGCACAGGTGGGGCATGCTGTCCCCTGGGTCATCCAGGCATCGGGGGGGACACGTGGGAAGGGGAGACTTCACTGCGCTAAGGTTGGACTTGGTGTTTCTCATGTTAGAAACGGAGAGTGCTTCTAGCTGGCCTTGGATTTAAAAAAAACCACAAACTTTGAGCTGATAGCTCTGCCTTGGAAGAGGCTCCTATAGTGGTGACTGGCATCACTTGTTAGTGGCACAGGGCAGAAACGGCGACTGGGTCAGGATTGGTCCCCAGGTGTTTTCCAGCGCGCGGGGACTGGCGGAGGGGGCAGGCAACAGAGCTTTCTGCCTTGCAGCCGCTGTGAATGTGCTCACTGAGCTTTATATTTAAACCCTGACGTCTTCCAGGAGCGCTGGTCATCTCAAAACGCCTGCGTGGGGTGGGGGAGCCTCAAAGCAACATGTTTTTTCTTTTAAAGTAGGAGTCTCTGTTTACCAGGGGTCTGCGTTAAAACTTTGTCCTATTACTTCAGGTACTGTTCTCCATTAAATAGTGTACACACCCTGGGTACATTACAAGAGCTGTCGTGTAATAAGAGACGGTCTGTTCAGGAAATACTACCTATCTGACCTCCCTGCGTCCTCTTTTGTGAATCGGTGGGTGGCAGCAACAGTGATGCATCAGTACCCGTGGCCCAAAGCTGCTCTGGGTACTGCCCATCGTCACTAATAATGTAGTTTTTGACAGACTGAAGGGTTTTTTTACCCATCACGTGTGGCTCCTCTCTGTGGCTGCAGTCGGCCTGGGGAGAGGACCCTTGTTTCCTCTTTCCAACTGGGCACCCGGTGGGCTCTCGCGGGCTGTTGCAGCCCGAAAGCTGTGTGTGAGGTGCAGAAGGAGGGCATGGCAATTAAGGGTCTTGATCTGGGAGGCTGCAGCTTGGACTGAGTAACGCTTAGTGCTCTTCAGGGTCAGGCTGAAGTGACCTGTAAACAACCCGGGGGTGCCATTACACGTGCCGGCGCTGGGCCTGTTACATCACCGAAAATGGCGTGCTGGGAGTTTCTGGCATCCGCTGGAGCCGAGCGAGCATACTATTGGAGTTGCCAAATCTGGGTTTTGAGGACAAGGAGACTTTTGCTGTGTCCCCCTAGCTACAGCGGGCAGCTTGCTCCCCTAAATGGTGGGTCCCGGGGATTCCTCTCCCAAGGCCTGGGCCTGTGCACCGGCAGCCTGCGCCAGCAGGGCAGCTGAAGCAATGCTGTCCATGCTCACTCCTGATTAACGCAGTCTTATGACTCACAAAAAGTTAATGACTTTAGCCCAAGGAGTTACAGCGGTGGTAAATCTGGGCACTACATGTATCGTCCTCGTTCTTAACAGCACAGCATAAACGTCAAAGCGGGGAGATGGGCTTTACGCTAGGGATATTTGCACTGTTGAAGTGTACAACTCGCCTGTGATTCAGCAGCTGTGAGCTGCCTACCACTAGAAGCATAAAACAAAGTTAGTAAATGTGGAAATATGCCTGGAGTGCAGGCTGGTGAGATGTAGCGTGGTTCAGCCAAGCGGTGATCACGAAACGTGGTGTTCAGTTTCATAACAAATGTTTTGTGCATGTTTGGGGGGGAGGGGAGAAACAACTACTCCATCCTTTACTATCTGTTCTCTTCTACCCAGGGAGCGCATGGAGTTACTGGAAGAAGCCAGGAAGATGGAAATGGCAAAGTTTCGCTACATCCTTCCTGTTTACGGCATCTGTAAAGAGCCGGTTGGCTTGGTCATGGAATACATGGAAACAGGGTCTCTGGAAAAGCTCCTGGCTTCCGAACCTCTGCCCTGGGAATTGCGCTTCCGCATCATCCATGAGACAGCTGTGGGGATGAATTTCCTGCACTGCATGTCCCCTCCACTGCTCCACCTGGACCTCAAGCCTGCAAACATCCTGCTTGATGCCCACTACCATGTCAAGGTACATATTGGGCGCTCTGTGCCAGGGACCCACCTTTGGATATTCTTGCATGGCTCTTGCCAGTCTCAAAGGCCTGAGAGAAACCAGCAGCATTCCTTTTGAATTAGAAAAACGCTCACCAACCCAACCCCTCCAATCCCCAAACTTGTCTACGTGATTTATGCACCATTGTGGTACATAAATAGAGGTAGAGTTCGGGAGCTTGTGAGAACTCTCCTGAAATTTTAGGAGGGTGCTAGTGTAGTGAACTCTGGTTCTGAGACCTAATGAGTCCTGCTATAAATTTCCCTGCAGTAGGGTCATGAGGCAGATGAGAACAGGGAGAGAAAAGCAGTGTGAACCTCTAAATCATCTATGCCACTTCCACAGCTCTCAGTGGTAACCTTGTTCTGTCTAGGTCCTCCTGGCTTTGTACACTCCACTAAATACGAAAATCTCATTTACAGCTGGAGTCCAGAGAAGCCTTCCCAGAGGCAACTCGTTTTCTTCTTTCATTTGCTCAGAGTATATACAGTGAAGAGGTATCTCTGTCCTGACTGTTTATGCATACCAGAGGTCACTTAAGGGAATTTTTGTGGCTGTATCAGCATGAAATTCTTTTCGTTATCCATTTCCAGAGTAAGCTAGCAAACTTGTTGGCCTTCTCTGTTGGAGGTTCTGTTTTGACAGCAGGACAAAGGAGGTTGTGCTTGCTTTCTGATCCTTCCTTTTGGAGAAGAAGGAGACTGAAATAAATCTTTTTCCTGATTTCCCCCCCCCCCCCCAAATCAGTGGCCACACTCTTAACCTTAGAACTGCAGGATTGATCTGGCTGGCTGGCCGATACAACTCAGTACAAGTAGTCATAGATTTTTATCAGTGCTATCATCCATCTGCTCCCTGTTTTCCTGTCCCCCTCAAACTGGCCAAATGGCTTAGGTCTTGCTGTACCATTCTAAAAATGAAGTTTTCGTTAAATGAAAACATCTCTCCTGATGTCATGAGAGGGTTGGAGCCGTAAGAGGTGTGTGCCTCTAATGAAATCACACCTGTGACAGTCTCAGCTTTTTTACTAGGCTTCTTAGTAGTTTACTACTTAGAAGGATTTTCTTTCTGAGATAGGAGGCATCTACAGGTCCATGGAATTATGACCAGAACATCAGGATCTGAACTGTTGAAAGTGTATTCTCACACATTGGTGCTGAGAGGCCTTTGCTAAGTATTTATTTACCTGAAGTTTGTGCTTGCTTGCATAACTTCTTAAATTCCTAATTCTTGACTCATCCGTGAGCCAAGATATGAAGGCTGTATTTTTCTCGCTGTTTCAGGAGGTTGAAATGCTGCCTGATATTCTGCCTGCTGTATAGCCTACATCTGGGTGGTGATGTAATACAAGGGGGCACAGTGCAAAATGTACAAAAAAAAAAAAAAGGTTTCTGGTGAGGTCACCACTGACATCCCTAAACTGTTGCTACTTGCTCTGTATATGAAACACATGAAGGTCTTCGGACCCTTTCCATTACATTCAGAAAAGAATGGTCTACTCCAAACCTTTTTCCAGCCAGCAGTCTTGTACATCTGCAGGCGTCTTGGAAACCCCTCCAAGCAGCAAAGCAGACGTTGGAACCTGTATGCAAATTAAGAGATGTACGTATTCTGTGAGGCGCCTTCGCTTTAAAAATGTGGCCCCAAACCTTCTTTTTGTGTGATGTGAAACTTGTAATTACATTTCAGACCCTGCAGCTTGATTTAATGTGCATTTTCTTGCTGGAAGGCTAATGGAGCTGATGATTGAAGTGTTTTTACTTTCTAAATGCTAGCGTTAATTTAGTAGGTGACCTGTCCCTAATAGAATCCTAAGGTGAGTGAAGAGATATTGCAGACTGCAAAAGAAGAGTTTGGAGGTACAGAGGACTTTTATAAACTGTTTGCCCTTGAGCCAGGAAACAGTCTTCCAGTGGAGCACATTAGAAATGCTTCTGTGCCATATTGCTAGTTAAATGGAAACACGCCCTTCTTCCTTTACAAGCACAATGCTTACAGTAAAAACCCCAAGTGAGGATGATGACTAACACAGTAGTGTTGTACAGAACTTATCATCAAGTGGGTGCCTCCATATCATAAAGCTGTCTCCTGCGTATTACATAAGTGTGTGCTGAATTTTGTTCTTGGGAGGATAATTAAGAGGATGGGATTAACCTGAGCACTGAGCAGGGATATAGATAGATATTAACTTTTTCAAAGGCACGTTGGGGGATTCCTTGGTGATTTTAAATATACAAGTATATAATACATACAGCGCAAGGTAAGGCTTTGCTGTTTTTTGGAGGATGGATGCATGCATGCGTGCCTCCTCCCCTGCGAGTGGTGGTGGAGCTTAGTACTGCCGGGAGCCTCAGCTGGGAGCTCCCTTCCCCGCCATATCCTGCTCCATCTTGGTTGCCTTAAGCAAAGCCTTGGTTTCCTTGGGAGGATTATTCCATACCCAGGCAGGCTTTGCTAGCAGGGATCAGCCTGCATTTTTTCTTCCTTAATGTCAACCTGTAACTTCTATTTGTACCGACAAAATCTTCCCTGCCCCTTTCTCCAGTGTTCCATATATGCAGCCTTCCAATACTTATGGGCTGTCTAACACCTAGTTTTTGCTTAACTGGACCACGTCTTAGGAGCTTGTTGTTCAGTTCTCCTGCCCTCCGTACGCATTCTGGATGTCTCCCCCGATGATGTGGCAATCGCTTCTGGGGAGCTGGCGCTGGGGAAGCAATGCCACATTCCAGCGCTGCCCTCGCAGGCTGTTAGTTTGCTCGTTCCCTGCTCCGATGTGATCCCTCTCCAGCGCCCTTGGTAGGAGAATATACACCCCCCTACCTGCAGTAATCTCGCACTCTAACGTGTTGCCAGCTACCATGCCCGCATGCTCTCTCTATTGCTGCTTCCCAGGTTTCTTATCTTCAGTATCTCATGGTTAAGAGTGTTACTTTTTGTTCAGGTATTTAAAATGAAGTCAACCTGCAACTTAATACTTTTGGGCAAAAGCATCATTTGTAAGTTCTTGTTTCTCTTACTATCCAGCCTGTTTTTTGCAGCTCCTCATCTTGCCATACGTATGTATATATACACACATGCGCATGTGTATATGTGTGGGTACACGCACACAGGCAAATCCCACCAGTTATTTTTCATCTCCCAGATTTTGTTTTTAAAGAACTTGAAGCGGGATGAGCTGGTCTCAGCTGTGCACTGCTTTAAGCTCCCTGTAGTTGCTTTTATTTTTTTTCCCCCAGTGCTCCAATTTAAACCAGTATGAAGAGTGAAGCTTGCTGCTGTGTTGTGCTGTGCTGATGGTCTTATTAAACACGGATAGGTTGCCTCAGTGGTCTTTGCCTTTATTTGCTTCAGCTGAAGAAGGGGCTGCAAAATTTCTGAGTGTGGAGTTAGAAGAAGCCTAGTCAGATGGCAAATTTGTTTATCAGAAAGCTTCTTAATGTACATCGTTAAGTGTAGGTCAAAGTAATACCCAGAGGCCAGGCTGGTAAAGAGTGGTTGTCTCTTTTTATTAGACTAGCTGATGTGGTTAACACAGCCACTTTTTTTTATCGGCTGCAAATGCTCTCCTGTCTCTTTCTCTACTAGAAATAAGAAGAGGCTTTGTTGTTTTGTGTGTCCCTTCTCCCCGTTTCCCACCCTTCCTGATCAAGGTTTCCACATAGGGCTGTTGTTACATGGCTCTTTAATCCCAGCCAACAAAGCTGGTTTTTACCTCGATCAATTCTCCAATTGATCTAATTGTGCTGGCACAGGGGAGGGAAGACGACCATCCCTGTTACGGTAATGCGGATTTACGATGAGTTAAAATGTATGCTTGACCCTGGCTTTGGTTTCTGCCACTTCTGAAGAGAGCATTACAAACGTCACACCTGAAACAGGTTTTGAGGAGTTAAGGTTTCAGGGCAGGTTGGAAAAGGATGGAAATACAGTCTGTTTCAGAAAGACTTCTTTTAGTAGCTATCTGAAGTGTGTTCATAAACACTGAAGTAAAGACATACGTTTGAAGTGCAGATGCTGGTTGTGTCTACACTTCGAATTAATTTTTATTCCTAATTTTTAGTAGTCCAAATCTGTGACCCAGGTAAGTCTCTTAAAAATTTCTGGCATTTCTTAAAGAACAAAATTGAAGCAACTAGCCTTTCTCCCCTACCCCCAGAAAAACAAACAAACGAGGCCAATACACACTCCCCACACGCCCCCCATCCCACCCCCAACACCCGAAAACCCCATAGACAAATGTGGTGGCATTCTCAATATTCAAGTGCACAGAGACTTTGGACAGAGACTAATACTGGATATGCCAGCAGCGATTAAAAATTAATCTGATGGCTTTGTTACCTATTTGGTGAAGCAAACCTTTTGGTGAACTCTGTCCCTGAGTCCATTGCAGTGGGTTCTTGAGTCTCATTTGTAGAAAAATGACATGCAGCATCAGAAGTTAAGTGCACGTTTCAGGGTGGCCTGTCAGGAGTCATCAGTGAAAGCACTTTCCAAGCACTAATTTTGTTCCTGGGAGCTAGATCCCTGCAGTGTTTGGGAATAGCTGACTTTAGTAACCATTGTAGTTACGTGAGCATATCTACTAGTTTTCCAAAAAAAAAAAAAAAGTTCCAAAAAATAACTTGACAAGCTCAAAGCATCTAAAACTTTGCAAGTGAGTGTTTTTTACAAACTAGAATGGAAACGTCCACAAATGACAGGAGCAGAGAAAGGCCTGTGTGCACAGCATGCTCAATTTAAAACAAACAAAACTAAAAAAAAAAAAAAGAAAAAAAAAGAAAGGATCTTCAGGTCTTGGAATCTGTCAGTAAAGTAGGTGTTGCTGGGAAGTGGGCAGGAGAACATGTACAGCTCCCCTCCCCAGTTGCTACTCACGTGTTTGTTCTCATGCAGACCTTTAAAGAGCAGAGACCGAGCGAGTTGTCTGAACATGAACAATCCCACTGTCTGTGTGGGCTTTGGCCAATGTGTTTTCTCTTCTTCCTACCTCTTCACCGCGTGTTTTGCATGAAGCAGTCTGTCGCCTCCATGTCTCCTCTTAACTCTGCTGATACTAGGTATGCTTTTGAAGCATGATGGGATCCACCTGAAATAACTGATGTGAGGAGTGAGATTATGGGTTCTGTTGGATCGTGGGGCAGGGCAGATCCCGGGGTGGGCTGCAAGGGCTAGCGGGGATGTGGAGGAAGAAGTGGGGAGGGGTGCTCCACTTTCACTACCTTCACCAGCAGGGGTGCCTTGTGTTGCAGAACTAGGTACCTGGCAAGCAATCTAAAGGCAAAATAGGTAAGTTAAATGGCTGTGTCTTCCACCCACTGCGCAGTTCCCACTGATGTTTAAAGAAACTGCATGACTAAATATACTGTGCAGTGTGGAAAATTTACTCTAAAGGAACTAATAAAAGCCACAAAAACTGTCTGCAGAATCTTACTATTTTGTTGCAGCCTGGAAGATAACAGTTCTTCAATTTCCAGTGCTTTCTGCAGAATTTGATATGATTCAAGCTCTGCTTTACAGCTGAATTTCCTATGAATTGGTATAAAACCTTGTCCTTCACAGTAGGTAGAGGCAGGTTCACAAGGTAAAGTTCTTGCTAGCCTGGGGGGGGTATATTATGTACCTTAGCTGTTTCTTGGTTTGTAGGCTGAGACTGAGACCTTTTTTATCTAGTGTGCTTAGCCTCCTGTCTTAGCCCCTAGCCTTAGATTCACGCAACATAGCTGGTGGCTCTTAATGCACTGTGCTGCCTGTATTTCATCTTTATTTCTTGACTTACACAGTAGGAAACCCGGTATTGTTGAGACAAAGAGGAAGGTGTATTACTTTAATTATGCCTGCATGCCATATGGATTTCTTGAGGTGTATACAAGCCTCTGCTTCATGTTAATCAAAGGATAGCAGCGCTTCACCAAGTCGGATCTGTTCAGACTTGCAGCAGTCGGTTCATTTATTAACCTGACTCCATGGGCTTATGTGATGTTGGGGTTGTGCTTTTGTTCTCCTGTGGAGCACTAAGTGCCCCAAACTCACGCAGCACTTCCTGGGGCGGTCGATGCAGCTCTTCCCAGGGTAAGCTGGCTTGTGAACCTGGGTTTCTTGACTACTTACTGCTTTCCTGGACTCCAGTGCTTGGCTTGCTGAGGAGGCCAGCAGTCCCCCTCTGAGTGTAGCCCTACAAGCATGAGAAACTATTCCTCCAGATGACTTTGCTTTTTTCCCTTTTTTTCCCCTCTTTTGTTTTTTCTTCTCAAGTCATTCCCACATTACCCTACAGATTTAAGATACAGATGGACAACAGGTTGGATATACCTGTGTGCTAGGGTACAGGACTTCTACAGCTCCTGAGAATGCCTCTAGTGAGCTCTCTGTCCCTGGGAGAAGTTCCTCCTGAAGCTGTGTTGCTTTGTTTTATGGCAAAGGGAGATTCCTAGCATTTGAACACCGATGGCTGTGTAGCCTGCCTGTTCTCCAGGAGGCTGAAGCTGGCAGCAGTTTTCTCCCTTTCCAGTAATGGATGCATGTTACGACTAGCTTTGTGGTATCTTTAGACAGAAGCTTCTGAAAGTGTAAAGTTGGAGCCTATTTAAAGGGGGGGGGGGGGAGCTTTTTTTAATTATGCTTGTTGTTTTGAGGGAGAACTTTCTCAAAGGAGAAGCTGTGAAGATCAAAAGGGGAATGAGTCATTGAAAAACCTGAGTATTCATTAGATAAAAAGAATGTATAAGTCGGGGGTGGGGGGGGATCTTATCTAACATGTAGACAAAAATCAGTGGGCTGAGCAGTCCAAAAAGACTTGACTTTGCTTGAAAATTCCAGTTAGCATAATAGACATTTTTGACCAGTGGGAAATAAGTAAGACAAAGGAAGCTCCTCGCCTATCTGTTTGCTTGATGATTGGTATGCTTTTGAGAGCAAATGGATGCATATTTGTTTGACACTTCAAATTAAAGTGGTGGTGTGTTTTCCTTTTTATAAACTTGCTGTCACTTGTTTTGTTCATTTCAGCTGTGTTCACTGCGTCACTGCACCAACTTGCCGTATCTCCTAGTTGCCAAAAAGAATTCCCTGTGTGGGTTTTTGATGTGTGTGTCTGTTTTGGTTTGGGTTTTTTTAACACTTGGTGCCTCTGGTGTTGGACTTAGTCCTTGTTGGCATGGTCAGTGTAACAGCGGTATCTGAAAGAGCAATTCTCTTGCACTCGTTGGAGAGCTCGTGGTCTGAAAACAGGTGCTCAGAACACTTGAATGTAGCATAAAACGTGAGGTTACATAGGGAAAGGGGATGGCAGGACCAATAATTACATTAAAGTAGTTTGCACTAGCTAAATTTGACTAGTTTTAAATTACAATAAATTGTCTTGACTGTTGTGTTTGCTATGTAATGGGCTAACATGCTGCTGCTTGCAAAAAGCTGCTTGCTTTTGTTTCTTTAGCTTAACCATAAAGAAAAGCCTACCATAGCGTAATGCTTCCAGAGATGTTTTCTTAGCTTAGTATTTCTGAACGGCAGCTCGCTATATTTTGTTGGGTCATCCTGTTACATCTACCATTCTTTACAGAAAATCTTTGCTAACGCCTCTGAAGTCTAATGGTAGTATGCAC